CTGTACAATTGTACCTACCGAACCTGTGATGTTTTGTGGGGTTCCCTCTTCCCTTTAATCCCACATCCTATTACTACTGCCAAGGTAAACCTGAGTCTTACATATCCCACAGACAAGCAGAGGGAGTCCGGGTTCCGACTTAAAACTCCAGCCCCATTCCAGGTAGTTAGTTCTGATCACACGGCCCTGCTGGATACTGGCCTTCATGAAAGGATCACTGAAGATAAGGGTGCTACAGCAAAGTGTGGTAGAGAAAGCAGATGGTGCCTGACCATCAATGGGAATAATGTCTGGGGTCTTAAAAACTTGCATGCAAACAAGCAGCCATCTAAGTGAGGAATCAACTAAGGCCACACGCAAGAAGCACACCAGCTTCTGTGATCCAAAGATGACAACTATAAAATTTGAATATGGTGAAGGGAGAAGTATCAGAGCTAAAAATTATGACCACCCAATTTGTAGAAGGCTGTGGAGGACAGTGGGAGCCCAGAATCCATCTGCAGAGTATCTAGTCAGATTAACCCACTGGCAAATCCTCTTTAGTCACAGGCAAGAGTCTGGAATAGCCTTAATATCAGCCAGAGAGACCATTGTAATCTTGACTGTGCTGGATCAAACTTGATATTTGGCCTGTTGACCTCCCTGTAGATCCAACCTGAATTTGTTCTAGGTGCAAGATTCTCTTACTTATTACATGACAAAAATGTCTTCCCTGGCTTTTTAAATATTGATGGGGAGTCGTTTCTTTCTTACTCATTATTGTATTTGTATCTTTATATTATTATTATTTATCTTTGCCACTTTATTTCAGTTTTTAAAAAAGTATTATTTCTGTTGGGCTTCCCAATTTGTGAAGCACAGAAGGAGTGGATGTATGGAGATAATAACTGAAGCAAGGGTCTATAGGGGATGTAGAGGTGGGAGTGGGTGCTAGGGAGGGTGAGAGGATTCTGGGAGTAAACAATGAAGGTGGGAGGAATCCCTAGAACTGATTGTGATTACACAACTCATTTTAAAGTCGATTTAACCATGGCGGGGTGGTGATGGTGGTGATGTTCTAAATTGCTTGTGGTAATGATTGTACAATTCTTCTTGATATGATTGAACAATTAAACTATTGGATCGTAAGATATGTGGGCTAGGTGGCAATAAAACTGTTGGGGAAAAAAGGGAGGGGGCAGAAAAAAGAGCACAATGCTCAATGCTGCTATTGTTTGGCTTAAAGGAAACTCAGGGACATTTGCACTTGAAAGTTTAAAGATGATCTCAGGGCAACAGTGGAGTCCCAAGCAGTTGTTGCTCTCATTACCTCTGGGATCCCTATTTGTGTTCACTGCTTTTTAGGTGTCCTACAGAGGAAGGCTTCGAAAATTGCGCCCATCTGGAAAGATGATTCCCTTGATGTGCATGTCCACTGTGTTGTATTAAAAATGTTAAGCCATTTATTTATTTTGCTTCAAAAATAAAAAGTAATAGATAGTTTGTTTTGATGAGAGAGGTGCCTACTTTCTTTTGTTGGATACACACAGGAACAGGAAACTTGGGGAGTTGTTTTCTGGGTTGTGGTTGAGGAGGACATTGAGAGTTTACAGAACCCGGCTGACTTAGGAGATATGAAAATTAGGGCAAATTACTTCTCTCAAGGTAAGCGCCCTCATTTGTAAATTGAACATAATACGGTCTAGAGTGCTTTTGTGAGGACAAGTTAAGTAAAACAAATGAGGTGCTCAGTGCCAGCGAAAGCACAGAATAAATGCTCAACACGTTTGAGGCTACAAATTTGAAGTTAATTTCAAGGAGTCGTCCTGTTGAGTGCTGGAATTTGGTGTCAGAGATCTGCTTGACAAAACCAAAGGCCAACAAATAGAACAATAAAATAAAGTAAGCCTGTAGGACAGTAGGTATAACTGATCGCAGTGATCAATGTCCTTGAGGGGGAGGAACAACAGAAATATGGGTGAAGGGAGACAGTGGATGGTGTAAGATATGAAAATAGGAATAATTTTTAATTTAGCAAGGGTTCACGAAGGTGGGAGGCTGGGGAGGAAGGGGAAAAAGAGGAGCTGATACCAAGGGCTCAAGTAGGAAGAAAATGCTTTGAAAATGATGATGGCAAATATGCAAAAATGTGATCGATACAATTGATGTATGGATTGTGTAAGAGCCCCAAATAAAGTGATTTAAAAAGATCATCAGAAAAACAAACCAAAACAAAACAAAAAACCAAAAAACCCTGGGACTGAGAATTGTTTTAATATATACAAAGAGGAGACTTGGTTTGCAAGGTTTTTCTCCTTTTTATTCTTATTCTATAAATCTCAGTAGATACGTTCTTGGCAATAGAGCTGTTGTAGGGGACACAAGACCCCCCCATCTGGATGAGGAAGACCATTGCACAAGGCCATCGTGGCACTGTAGGATTTATAGAAAACCTGCAGCTTCCATTCTAAAGCACTTGGTGTGTGGAGGGCTTTACCGAAGGGTCCAGTCTGTGCTCAGAGAAGAGGCTGTCTGCTCCTGGAAAGATTGAGTAGGATTGCTGCTGTGAGTCGGCATTGACTTGGCAATAGTTTCCTTTGGTTGGTTTGAGAGATGGAAACAAGGGACCCACTCATCTGAAACATTTGTAATGCAGCAGATGTGGGTGGTGGCCGTGATTATTTTAATTTTGCAAATGACAGAAGAGGAGGAAGCACTTTAGGCAGCTATCTAGAGGAGAGGAGCTGCATCGCAGATTGTGCTTGATTTCCAGATAGCATTCTTCTTTTGCGAGATTTTTATTTATTCATTTTCAACCTTTTGTAGTGAATTAGGTGTGTGTGGGGGTGGTGGTGGTGGTGGGGGTGGGGTGTGTGTGTGTGTGTGTGGGGTGTGTGTGTTTACAGATCAGATGGAGAAGATCATGCTTGGTAAAGCCGAGGGGCAGGGGGAAGACAGGAAGACCTTCAACAAGAGGGATTGACGCAGTGACTGTAACAGTGGCTCAGACATAAGAACAATTGTGAGGATGGCGCAGCACCAGGCGGTGTTTCGTTTTGTTGTGTAAAGCCCCTATGGATCAGCATCCACTCGATGGCACCTAACAAGAACTTATCAAACCTAAACCTCTCAATGGCATGCCTTGGTTCTCTCATTATCTTGTTGCCCTCTTGTGGATATTAACCTCCCGTTCACCCAGGGGAACACCTCAGACAGGTATTCTTTATTGATCACACCACCAAGTAAGTTGGTGAACAGTCTTCCATTTCTCCATGAGCTGCAATAACACCTTCTCAATTGTCCACCATCAGCCACCTCGCGACTATTTTCTCTCTCTCTGGCAATCTGGGTCATGGAAGGTATAAGACAGTTGCCTTTATGCTGTCTAATAACCTTCTGGCCTGTCCCCAGGGCCCCATAGCACAAGCTTCGAGAGCAAGGACGCACAGCGCCCCTAATGCCACTTGCACAGACATCAGCGTCTCTGAGCTGGAGCCCCGCCCAGATGTTTATATTTACCTCCCTTGGCTCCGCCCCTCCACCACGAGGGCCTCCCGTGGTGGTCACGCCCTTAAACGAGCGCTCCGGGCGCCAGGAGACGCGGACAGCCCCCAGGGATTCCCTCGTCAGCCAATCGCATCGGAGCGACGGCTCTGCCCCTAACAAAGATGGCGAGGGAGGCCGCCGAGAGGGCAGGCTGAACCGATCGCCCGAACCCGCGGCGGGCGGACAGCAGTGACCGTGGCTCCGGCGCTGCCCCAACCATGGAGGGCGGCAGCGGTGCTAGCGACAACAGCACCAGCGGCGGTGGCGGCCCGCAGCAAAGGGAACTGGAGCGCATGGCTGAGGTCCTGGTCACCGGGGAGCAACTACGGTAAGGCGAGGGCAGAGCCGGTGGGCTCGCGGTGGCACTGCCAGCCCGTGCCCACGGCAGTGCCGCACGCGCGCGCTGCGCCTGGCGCGGGGCTCCCGGGCGGCCGCGTGGCTGGCCGGTGCGGCCCCGTGGCCCCGCTGCTGCAGCCGGGCGCTCCGCGGAGTGGAGAGCGGTGCCAGCTGTCTGTGCGCGCCGCGCCTCTGCGCCCCAGCGCCGCGTGCGCGCCTGCTTGCCAGTCTCCGGGCGCCGGCCAGCCTCGGGGTGACAGTTGGCTTCTGGATGGGTCAGTGTGGGGCCCCGGGCGGCCCCTTCACCCGTGGCCGAAAGGAACCAGCCCGAGGATCGCCCTCCCTGGCGTTCCCTGTGTGCTCGCCCGGCTGACTTCCCGCGTCGGAGCCCTCGGTTCTTCCATCTGTGAAATGGGCTTGGCTCTATCGCCTCCCTAGAAGGGTTGCTGCAGGGACTCCAGCCTAGAGAACATTTCTGCAGTATCGGCCCTATGACTTACTTGGCACAGCGTCATCCAGCGTAATTTGGGTCCGCAAGGGGGCGGGGAAGCTCCTGGTCTGACCGCCCCTCCGCGGTGCCAAGTTCGCCGGCGCGCAGGTTTGGGGCAGCGCAATCCGCTGGCCTTGGGACTTGCTAGGGCTCTGGGAACGGGGCACGGGCAGAGGTGGCTGGACTCGCGCTCATCGTTTCCATCCATTCTCACTTCTTGGGATTTTGCTCCGGGGGTTGGTCTGACCGGTTCCGCAGCTGTTCTTCGTGTGCTCATAAATCACCTTGGCTGGGCAAAGGGAGAAAAAAAAATAACCCAACCAAAAAACCTGCCCCGGCCGAGTTTGGGCTACTGTTTGCACACGGGCGCCGGCCCTGGCTGGAAAGACAGCGCGCCTGTCGGGTTTGCATTCTTGGCCCCAATCGCCAGGCACATTTTGCTTTCTAAATATGCTCCAGGACCTGGAGGGGTGAGAAACTTGGAAAGGCTGTGAAGGGCCCCCGGAGGATTCCAACCCCCCTGCTTGCCCCACTTAGATGGAGGAAGTAAAAATTAGAAGTCAGGATTAATTGAGTTTAATGCTACAAAGGGCAACTTGCGTATTTCGGTTCCTTGTTGATTTTTTTTTAAGCCTGATCCATTTTAAAAGGAATAAGAAAATTTAAAAACCTTCTCTTCACCAAAAATATTCTCTAATAGAAACAAATTAAAGCTTTTCTGATTGATTCTGAAACACTTACATTTAACTGTACATTTCGTGAAAATATACACAGCAAAACATTCTTCACTTTGTGTCAACATCAATGGTGTCATTCGGATGTTGGGGAGGGTGACACTGCCAAGGGGGAGTGTCACCAAAATAAGGAGCTTTTTTTTTGCAGAAATGTGTTATTCCTTTTAAAGTATCTCTGTAGTTAGTTCTAAAGAGCTATGGTGGCATAGGGTAGGGCTGCTAGAGACAGCCCAGCAGTTCCAACCCCATAACAGATGCTCTGGAGAAAAATGAGGCTTTCTGCTGCAGTGAAGATTTATAGCCTCAGAAACCCAAAGTGGCAGTGCTCCTCTGTCCTATAGGGTCACTGTGAATCAGCATTGCCTGGATGGCCGCCAGTAGTTAGTTATACCAACAAAAGCACATTTTATAAGCCCAGCTTCCATGTATCCATACCCCTGCAAGGCTAAGACTCTATGCTGATTTGCTAATGCACTTGGGTCAGAACTGTCAATATGACCCAATACAATGAGGCTATGAATCATGTTAGTCTGTGGGTATTTTTTATACTCACTGATTTTCTTACTATCTGTAACAAGCAGTATTTGTGAACACCTGTCAATAACTTTTGAGAAGAAACAAATAAAAAACCCATGGCGAATTGTTGTCAGGAATGCTGTAGGAAGCCCTGTTGGTGCACTGGCTGAGTTGCCAACTACTGACTCAGAGATTGGCAGTATGAATCTAGTCAGCAGCTCCACAGAAAGACTTGCTGCTGATCTGCCCTTTTGGGGATCACCACAGAAAACTCTGTGGGCACTTCTGTGTCACATGGGCCCCGATGCGTCAAAATGGACTCTCTGGCATCTAATGACTACATGATTGTTATAAACTCAAAATGTGAATTTGTGGGCTGAATCTAGGGTCCTGACACTTTTGTAAAGGCAATTGGTTGCACAAGGGCCAAGTGTTGAGTAACAGCTAATATCCCCTGCTTCCTTTTCCAGCGCAAAGTTTTCTGAATTGCCTTCATGTTTTTCCTTTGCTAGAAAGGGTTTGACGTTCTTGCCCAATATATTTTCATGTTTTTGCATATTAAAAATGCATTTGGATCCCATTTCATAGCCCTGTGGAAAACCATCTGTCAGCCCAGAAAGTCCACTCCTAGATGTACATCAAGAGAAATGAAAATGTGCACGATGTTTCCTGGCTCCATCAAGCACAGTAGCCCAAAGTGGAAACAACACACATTTCCATCCGCTGATGAGTGAATAAACAAAAGGTGAACTAACCACACAGCCGAATGCCATTCGGCAGTAAGGAGGAATAGAGTGGTGATCTATGCAGCAGCATGGGTAAACCTTGAAGACAAATGAAAGTCACATGTCTTGTTCACAAAGCATGGTTTTGCATGGTTCCATTTGTAAACATTGTTCAGAGTCGATAACTTCAGACAGGAAGTATATTACTCTGTTTCTCCGAAAATAAGACAGTGTCTTGTATTAATTTTTGTTCCAAAGATGCATTAGGTCTTATTTTCAGGGGATATCTTATTTTTCCATGAAGAAGAATACGGTACACATTTATTGCTGAATAACAAAAAAGGAAATTTATTACCTGTATACGGTACAGTATTAGTTGTCATCACAAACCAGCATAACCAGACAAACTGTGAATCCTACAGTATTAAGAATTTCTTGTTACTACCATAATTTCCATGTACAGCAATCTATGGTACATTTACTCATAATCTATGGTACATTTACTCGCACTTCCTGTCTGCTTCGGCTGCGCTGCAGCCAACAGTCAGCTGCGCGGTGGCGCCTGCCGCCACTGAGGTCCAGAGTTACGGCAGCTTGGGGGGGCTTATTATCGGGGAGGCCTTATTTTCGGGGATGTCTTATTTTCAGGGGATGCCTTATATTTCAGCAAGAGGCAAAACTGTAAGTAGGTCTTATCTTCAAGAGATGTCTTACTTTCGGGGAAACACTGTAGTGGACCCTTAGGGCTAGGGGAGGAGCCCTGGGGCACAGTAGATGAAGCAGCAGGCTCCTAACCTGCTGTCAGTGGTTCAAGCCCACCAGCTGCTTGGGAAAAAGATGAGGCAGTTTGCTTCCATAAAAATTTCCAGCCTTGGAAACCCTGTGGGGCAGTTCTGCTCTGTCCTGTAGGGTTCCTAAGAGTTGGAATGACTTAACCACAATAAGCTCAAGGCCTGGGAGAAAACCAAACTGGCTTTGGGATAATGTAGGGGCCCTGGTGACATAGTCGGTTACGAGTTGGGCTGCTAACCACAAAGTTTGCAGTGTGAAACCATTGGCCTCTCTGAGGGAGAAAGGTGAGGCTTTCTACGTCCATTAAGAGTTAACCCACAGGGGCAGTTCTCTCCTGTCCAAGATGACCTCTATTGACTCAGAATCTATTGAATAGCAGTGTTTTGGGTTTTATGGGATAATGATTCTAAAATTGGTTGTGATGGTTGCATGATTCTGTGATTATAATGCACACCTCTGTGGATATTAAATGATTGAAATGCATGGCATATAATTGATATCCAAATTAGTTTATTTTGGTTTGACCGCCTGCTGAGAATTTACATTTTCACCTGTAAGTATCACTGAAGCATCTTGTTAAAAAATGTAGATTTCTAATTCAGTATATCTGGGATAAAAATGTTCATTCTCAGCCTGGGTTGAGCCTAATTGGACCAGATTGAAGCCCTTGATTATATCTAAATAAAGCTGTTGCAAAGAAGGCATTTGATTTGTGGAATACAAAATACTAGAGCTTGTAAATTGCTTATGATTTTTGACTGACCAGAAAATACAATGTTATTTATCATTAATTCAATAATACTCATTGTTACTATACAAGATGGGATAGCATTTTATCCCATATATATATTTGTAGAATTATTCTTGATATAGTACCATGAATGATCAAGCAAATTTCAGAATATTCCTAGTTTGGAGATGATGAGCTGTAGGCAAATAATTCATCTTGGTGAGGTTTCCTACTATGAGTGCAAATAGTTATATACGTTTTATGTTTTATATATAAGAATCTTATACCAAACTCTTCTCAGGACAGTCACTTAACTCCCCCTCATGTTTGTTTGTTTTTAATGGAATCCTTCTGAAAGTATTTACAATGAATGATATTTATAAAATACTGTTGGTGTTCCGTGCCACTGGGTAGCTTTTGATTCATAGTGTTATGGATACAACACAAAGAAATACTAACTGGTCCTGCACCACCCTCACAGCCACCGCTGTGTTTGAGTGCATTGTTGCAGCCAGTGTGTAAGTCCATCTGGATGAAGGCATTCTTTTTCTTCCTCTTTCACTAACCCTCTACTAGCCATGGCGTCCTTCCTTCTATGCTGTCCCATATGGAATGAGCCTTTCAGATAATAGGTCCAGAGTACATGTGAGGTCAGCTCAGTAAATTATGCCACTTGGTTTTGGGGATCCCTAAGGGGCAATCCTTTTTATTTATTTTTCTTTTCTGAGTTCATTTTGTTTGTGAGTGTTCTTGTCCTTGTCTTCATTGCTGTTTTTCTTAGCATTTATGAAATCTAGATAATTTTCCTATTTTATTTTGATGAGGATTATTAGCTTTTTTTTTGAAGCTACCCTGTAGGTTATTAATTTTTTCCAAAGTTTACAAACAGTCTGTTCTGCTTTGCAATATAGTTGACTTCCTCTCCATCGGGAAGTTCTTTAACTAACCTAATTATTCCCTCCTTTGACTCTGCACACATCTTCATTTACAAGTTGATATTTCTGC